ATATGACACACAGTCCTGTTAAAGGATATCAATATATAAGTATTATACATTTTTTCACTTGTGGTTTAAGCAAGTTAGTGCATATAAATATATATATATATATATATTATATATATATATATATATATATATCTATATATATATATATATATATATATATATATACATATAATATACACTTGCTGGGTAAACTACACAGGACTGCGTTGTATCTATAACCTATTAGCACTTCCGGTTTCTTCTGCATATCTTTCATCCATTATATTCCATTCCCCTGGTCTGTATGGGGGCTCGAACCCTGGACCCCAGGCGTGTGAGGCCGACGCTCTTATCGACTGTGCTATGAGCCGTCTCAAATTGCATACATCCATTATAGATTTGGCTTTAACAATGTAAACGTGCAATCTTATGCAAGGTTGCCATGTGTAGTCACTTCAGTGGGATTAATATTTGTAAATAGTTGGCAGCACTGACACATTTATTAACATACAAAATTATGGAGAATTAAAGAGTGTAATTAGCGATTATAAGGCCTAATAATAATAATTATAATAATAATATTTATAATAATAATAATAATTATTATTATTGTTATTATTATTATTATTATTATTATTATTATTATTATTATTATTATTATAGTGCACAAAGAAGTCCCATTAAAGTGATGTCAATGAAAAAATAAGTTGGAGCCATGGGAAGGATTCGAACCTTAAACCTTAAGGATTCGATGCCTAATGATGTCCGACGACCTATACGTTTAGGGAGCATAACCAAGCAAATATTGCGTCAGCCAGAAAAATGATCGGATGGATTACGAGAACTTTCAAGTTCAGGGATCCCACCACAATGGTTGTACTCTTCAAGTCACTTGTGTTGTCCCGTCTTGAGTACTGCTCAGTACTCACTTTCCCCTTAAAGGGGTCATATTACCGAAAAATGCGATAAATGAAAACTGGTTCGATTTCAATCAAACTTTTTTGACTAGTAGTATGTAAATTTTGGTTCAACTGGCCCAAGTCTCAGCATCGTAGCATAAATAGGAAGGGAGGAAAAAAATATTGAATTATGTGTTGAAAATTTTCCCAAATAGTCAAAAATTAACATTAAACATAAGTGTCAACTGAAATCATGTCTATGACTCTAAGCTATCACAATAGCAGATAATAAAGTATTTTAATATTAAGTTTTATGCAAAAAAAAAAAATAATTGGGCTTTTTTTTCTCGATTTTTTTTTCATATTTTTTATCAGCCGATTTTCATGAACCTTATATACCTTAAAGAACATAAGAATATCTGCAAGGATGCAAATTTTGGAAGAAATTGGTTGAAGTCAACATCAACCACCGGAGGCAGAATCTTTGATCTTATTTATTGTCAATTAACATAAAATTACTTCACAGCTTTTATTTTTTTTTCAATTTAAATGTAATTTACATCTTATATGAAGAGTTTACGTCTCTGCAGACTGTATTAAGCACTTTTTTCTAGGTTCATTTATTGATTTTATACTTTATTTTCAAACATGAACTATTGGCATATATTTTTGGGGAGCTTTGACTACTTGTATTAGTAAAACTAAGTATATTTTGGATAATCCTTACAATACAAATCCTTTATTATATGCTAATGTATTATATGAGTGTCATAGAAATGATTTAATTTGAAACTTGTGGTTTGTGAAATTTATTGAAAATGTGTAAAATTCGTTGGAAAAAACAAAAAAAAACAATAACTCCGTTTCTATTTAGGGTGCGATACTGAAACATAAAACAGTTGCAGTCCTTCTTATATCCAACTAGTACAAAAAGTTTGGTTGACATTAAACAACATTTAAAAATCGTGTAATTTGGCACCGTCAGAGCAGGAGAGATTGCTGAAATAGAGGGAATAGAGAGAACATATACGGCACGCATAGACGAGATAAAGCACCTAAATTATTGGGACCGTCTCAAAGCTCTCCAAATGTACTCACTAAAATGAGACGAAAGAGATACCAAATAATATACACATGGAAAATACTGGAGGGTCAGGTCCCTAATCTGCACAGTAAAATAACAACATACTGGAGTGAACGATATGGAAGAAAATGCAGAATAGAACCAGTGAAGAGCAGAGGTGCAATAGGCACAATCAGAGAACACTGTATAAACATCAGAGGTCCGCGGTTGTTCAACATCCTCCCAGCGAGCATCCGAAATATTGCCGGAACAACCGTGGACATCTTCAAGAGGAAACTAGATAGTTTTCTTCAAGGAGTGCCGGACCAACCGAACTGTGGTGGGAATGTGGGCCTGCGGGCCGCTCCAAGCAACAGCCTGGTGGACCAAACTCTCACAAGTCAAGCCTGGCCTCGGGTCGAGCTTGGGGAATAGAAGAACTCCCAGAACCCCATCAAGCAGGTATCAGAAGGAGTTAGATGTTTCAGTGTAGTGTCACATAGAGAACAGCTGAACGAGAAACAAAAACAATGACCGATAAAGCAGAGAGTGTTAGGAAGGAGAGGAATAGAGGAGATAGAGACAAAGAAGGAGCAATGAGCAATAAGGAAAAAAAAACGTCCAAAAGAAATATACACGGTTAGGCGGCCTCTACTATAAGCAAACTCAACCGGAATCATTATTTCCATCTATGATTCCCCCCATCTTCATCCGGATCTCTTGTCTCCCATCCGTACGTATTTCCATCCGTATATATCCTGTATCGCTGCATATATTTCTGCCTTGTGTATATTACACTGCAAATCTAATTCTCTTCGTGGTGGTCATTCTGCTGCTCCTGTCATGTAATTTATCATTTTTCCGCTGTTATCCTTCTACCCTTTCTCCTTCCTCCGTTGTTGTCTGGGGGTTCCTGTATTCTTCCTTCATCACTGTTTTCTTTGTCGTTATAGTTTATTTTAAAGAGATTTCTTTATTTCATTCTATTTTTCTGTTCATTCTCTCTTGCTTCTCTTCCTTCCTTGCCACTTCCGTCTTTCATCTTTCACTCCTAATTTCCGTCTCTCAAAAGGAAAGTGTTGGTATTTTTTTTCCATTCCAGGTCCTGTTTATCCTTTCCCTCTTCGCTTTTACTTTCTCCTCGTTGGTGTTAGTCCTTATCTGTCTCTTTCTCTTCTGCGCTCTCACGCATCCTGTCAAGTGGACCACCATGCTGGACCAGTGGTGGACCACCATACTGGACCAGTGGTGGGCCACCACGCTGGACCAGTGGTGGACCACCATGCTGGACCAGTGGTGGACCACCATGCTGGACCAGTGGTGGACCACCATGCTGGACCAGTGGTGGACCACCATGCTGGACCAGTGGTGGGCCACCATGCTGGACCAGTGGTGGACCACCATGCTGGACCAGTGGTGGGCCACCATGCTGGACCAGTGGTGGACCACCATGCTGGACCAGTGGTGGACCACCATGCTGGACCAGTGGTGGACCACCAAGCCCTCTACACCACACCGGACTCTATGAAACATTCATAATCCAGAATTGTATCTCGCCGCCTCAGGACATTTGACAGGCGGACCCCGCCAGGCTACATTTGACAGCCGCACCCCGCCAGGCTAGGCCAGGCTACATTTGACAGCCGGACCCCGCCAGGCTAGGCCAGGCTACATTTGACAGCCGGACCCCGCCAGGCTAGGCCAGGCTACATTTGACAGCCGGACCCCGCCACACTAGGCCAGGAACTGAGGTTCACGCGAAATGTATCTTCAGAAGGGACACTCAGAGCGCGGGAGAACCCCGCTTAAACCGCTGGCCTGTTGGCTGTGCCGCTGCGCGAAGCTCACTCAGGTGCAGCCACCTGTGCAGGTGCAGCCAGCTGGGCAGGTGCAGCCAGCTGGGCAGGTGCAGCCAGCTGGGCAGGTGCAGCCACCTGTGCAGGTGCAGCCAGCTGGGCAGGTGCAGCCACCTGTGCAGGTGCAGCCAGCTGGGCAGGTGCAGCCACCTGTGCAGGTGCAGCCACCTGTGCAGGTGCAGCCAGCTGGGCAGGTGCAGCCAACTGGGCAGGTGCAGCCAGCTGGGCAGGTGCAGCCAACTGGGCAGGTGCAGCCAGCTGTGCAGGTGCAGCCAGCTGGGCAGGTGCAGCCAGCTGTGCAGGTGCAGCCAGCTGGGCAGGTGCAGCCAACTGGGCAGGTGCAGCCAGCTGTGCAGGTGCAGCCAGCTGGGCAGGTGCAGCCAACTGGGCAGGTGCAGCCAGCTGGGCAGGTGCAGCCAGCTGGGCAGGTGCAGCCAACTGGGCAGGTGCAGCCAGCTGGGCAGGTGCAGCCAGCTGGGCAGGTGCAGCCAGCTGTTGAAGGACCTGCTGTCTCTCCTGGACACTCATAAGGGCTGCCTGGTGATTCCAGGAAGTGATCTTAATTTGTTGACTGGAATGTTGACATTCCAGCCCCCCCCCCCCCCTCCCCTGCCCCCCCTACCCCCCCCCCCCCCCCAACCCCCCCCCCCCCCTACCCCCCCACCACCCCCACCACCGGTGCCGTTCTGGGGTCGCTGGCAGCTGCTGTTGGTGAAGCAGCTGCTGTTTTATACGACTCGATAAGCTGTTGCTACTGTTGTTCCTGTTGCTGCTGCTGCTGTTGTTACTGCTGTTGTTGTTGTTGTTGTTGCTGTTGTTCCTGCTGTTGCTGCTGCTGTTGTTACTGCTGTTGTTGTTGTTGTTGTTGCTGTTGTTCCTGCTGTTGCTGCTGCTGTTGTTACTGCTGTTGTTGTTGTTGTTGTTGCTGTTGTTCCTGCTGTTGCTGCTGCTGCTGTTGCTGCAGCTGGCAGTGGTCTCGCTGACCACCACAGTAAACTACAAATAGTCTAAGCAACAAGGAGACATCGTTGTATAGCGTTGTTTTGCCTCCTTCATCTGTCCCTCCCGGGTTGTCCTTGTCGCTGAGGATGGTCTTGTTAGTGTCTTTGCTCAACAAAGATTGTCTTTGTCGAGCAGTCGAGAGAGCGAAGTGTGTGTGTGTGTGTTTGCTGAATTCTGTGGATAGTATTTCATTAGGTATAAATGAAGTCAGATCAGGAACTACATCAAGGGGAATACATCACAGGGGGTCGTCAAAGAGAATACATCACAGGGGGTCGTCAAAGAGAATACATCACAGGGGGTCGTCAAAGAGAATACATCACAGGGGGTCGTCAAGGGGAATACATCACAGGGGGTCGTCAAGGGGAATACATCACAGGGGGTCGTCAAAGAGAATACATCACAGGGGGTCGTCAAAGAGAATACATCACAGGGGGTCGTCAAAGAGAATACATCACAGGGGGTCGTCAAAGAGAATACATCACAGGGGGTCGTCAAAGGGAATACATCACAGGGGGTCGTCAAAGAGAATACATCACAGGGGGTCGTCAAAGAGAATACATCACAGGGGGTCGTCAAAGAGAATACATCACAGGGGGTCGTCAAAGAGAATACATCACAGGGGGTCTTCAAAGAGAATACATCACAGGGGGTCGTCAAAGAGAATACATCACAGGGGGTCGTCAAGAGAATACATCACAGGGGGTCGTCAAAGAGAATACATCACAAGGGGTCGTCAAAGAGAATACATCACAGGGGTCGTCAAAGAGAATACATCACAGGGGGTCGTCAAAGAGAATACATCACAGGGGGTCGTCAAAGAGAATACATCACAGGGGGTCGTCAAAGAGAATACATCACAGGGGGTCGTCAAAGAGAATACATCACAGGGGGTCGTCAAAGAGAATACATCACAGGGGGTCGTCAAAGAGAATACATCATGCAGGATAGTCGTTGTATGATTAAAAATTAATATTTAATGTATCTTAAAAAAAATTAATCGTTTATTGGGCGGTTCGCTCCGTAATTCTGATGAGATGTTTATTATTAAATAAGGTGGGCCAGGAGTGCCAGGAGTGCCAGGCCTGTGATGAGTGACAGCTTTAGTTTGTGTGGGGTGAGTGACTGCTTCTGTAGTGTGTGTGGGGTGAGTGACAGCTTCTGTAGTGTGTGTGGTGAGTGACAGCTTCTGTAGTGTGTGTGGGGTGAGTGACAGCTTCTGTAGTGTGTGGGGTGAGTGACTGCTTCTGTAGTGTGTGTGGGGTGAGTGACTGCTTCTGTAGTGTGTGTAGGGTGAGTGACAGCTTCTGTAGTGTGTGTGGTGAGTGACAGCTCCTGTAGTGTGTGTGGGGTGAGTGACAGCTCCTGTAGTGTGTGTGGGGTGAGTGACAGCTTCTGTAGTGTGTGTGGGGTGAGTGACAGCTCCTGTAGTGTGTGTGTTGAGTGACAGCTGTAGCGTGTGTGTGGTGAGTGACAGCTCCTGTAGTGTGTGTGGTGAGTGACAGCTGTAGTGTTTGTGTGGTGAGTGACAGCTCCTGTAGTGTGTGTGGTGAGTGACAGCTGTAGGTGTGTGTTGAGTGACAGCTGGAGTGTGTGTGGTGAGTGACAGCTGTAGTGTGTGTGTTGAGTGACAGCTCCTGTAGTGTGTGTGGTGAGTGACAGCTGTAGTGTGTGTGTTGAGTGACAGCTCCTGTAGTGTGTGTGGTGAGTGACAGCTGTAGTGTGTGTGTTGAGTGACAGCTGGAGTGTGTGTGGTGAGTGACAGCTGTAGTGTGTGTGTTGAGTGACAGCTCCTGTAGTGTGTGTGGTGAGTGACAGCTGTAGTGTGTGTGATGAGTGACAGCTGTAGTGTGTGTGATGAGTGACAGCTGTAGTGTGTGATGAGTGACAGCTGTAGTGTGTGTGATGAGTGACAGCTGTAGTGTGTGTGATGAGTGACAGCTGTAGTGTGTGATGAGTGACAGCTGTAGTGTGTGTGATGAGTGACAGCTGTAGTGTGTGTGGGTGAGTGACAGCTCCTGTAGTGTGTGTGGGTGAGTGACAGCTGTAGTGTGTGTGGGTGAGTGACAGCTGTAGTGTGTGTGGGTGAGTGACAGCTGTAGTGTGTGTGGGTGAGTGACAGCTGTAGTGTGTGTGGGTGAGTGACAGCTCCTGTAGTGTGTGTGGGTGAGTGACAGCTGTAGTGTGTGATGAGTGACAGCTGTAGTGTGTGATGAGTGACAGCTGTAGTGTGTGTGATGAGTGACAGCTGTAGTGTGTGTGGGTGAGTGACAGCTCCTGTAGTGTGTGTGGGTGAGTGACAGCTGTAGTGTGTGTGGGTGAGTGACAGCTGTAGTGTGTGTGTGGTGAGTGACAGCTCCTGTAGTGTGTGTGGGTGAGTGACAGCTCCTGTAGTGTGTGTGATGAGAGTGACAACACCTGCTACCTGGCCCGTTACTTGGTTACTAGATGTTACGGAAATGTTACTGAGTCGCCAATATACGTTATTCTAAAATAAAGACGAATATCCGGCAAAAATTAACCTCTTCGACCAAACTGAATTCCAAAGGGTAACGAAGGACACTGCAGCCGAATTGAAAACTAAGGTTACAGATCGAAACTGTGAACGCCAATAAATCCGGACTCCACCTGCCTAAGGTTATTGGGGAATACAAACCTGGATATGCGTATGGGCATGTCAAGACACACAAGCCTGGAAACCCACTTTGGCCAATCACCAGCCAGATACCCATACCCACATACAGACTGGCTAAGCGACTCAACTGCTTGCTGACTCCTTATGTGCCTTGTGCCTTTAGCCTGAAGTCTCCAAAGGAATTCGTTGACTTACTGCGGGGCACACGGGCCACAGGGATAAGAGCCTCTTTGGATGTGGAGTTGCTGTTTACCAGCGTACCTGTGGACGAGACAATCAGGGTGATGATGGACAGAGTGTATCGTGATCCAGCTTGTACCACTCTTGACATACCAGAGAGCATACTGAGGAAGTTACTCCAAGCATGCACTAAAGATGCACCCTTCTTGAGTCCCGATGGGCACATGTATAAGGAAGTAGATGGGGTCGCCATTGGTTCTCCCCTAGGTGTCCTGTTTGCGAACTTCTGCATGGGTACCATCGAGCAGAGGGTCTTAGTTGACGTGGACTTGAGACCCGCCATATACTGCAGGTATGTTGACGACAGTTTTGTGCAGGTACCTGATGCCAGATGTCTGCAGCAGCTGAAGGAGGCGTTCGAGCAAAATTTGGTGTTGAGTTTCACTTACGAGATGTTGAGTGATGGGAAGTTGCCCTTACTAAGTGTAACAGTCACGGAGAGGAATGATGGCTTCCACACTGCAGTCTTCACCAAGGAAACTAACATAGGAATGTGCCTCAATGCCAACAGTGACTGCCCAGACAGGTACAAGAGGAGTGTTGTCAACGCTAACATCGACCGGGCTCTCAATCACAGCTCTGGTTGGAAGCAGGTCGACAAAGAACTCTGTAGGGTAAGGCAGGTCCTAGTCAACAATGGCTTCTCTAACGGTTATGGTGAAGACGTCATCAATAGAAAGGTAAATCGCCATGCAACCTCTGAAGAGTCAACTAACACAACACTTGTACCTCCTATTAGACTGTTTTCAGCCAATTAACACATAATTACATTCTACCCACTTCAAGACCCCAAATCAGCACAGGAGCAAGCCGATAAAATGTATACCCATGGTTACATATCTCATTTATACTCATTGTTTCGTGTTCTGTTTTTTTTCAATGATTTGTTTCCTGTCACCTCACCCAAAAACAAATATAAGCATGAAACGGAGTACATAAAAATCAGTCTTTGTAAATGTGAGAAGTCTTGCAAAACGCTTCCAGCCGTCAGACCATAAATAAAAAATGTTAAAATGAACTTTGGAGAGTAAATTTTTCAATTACATCCGACAGTGAAGAAAAACGTAAGAAATATTGAGAAGATTCGTGTTAGAATTATTAATCTTACCCTTTCGGTCATATTCAGCAACATATGTTTACAAGAAAGACTGCTACCAAAATATATTATATATATATATATATATATATATATATATATATATATATATATATATGTCGTACCTAATAGCCAGAACGCACTTCTCAGCCTACTATTCAAGGCCCGATTTGCCTAATAAGCCAAGTTTTCATGAATTATATGCTAATTTTTTTTCGTCTACCTAACCTACCTAACCTAACCTAACCTAGCTTTTTTTGGCTACCTAACCTAACCTTACCTATAAATATAGGTTAGGTTAGGTTATGTAGGGTTGGTTAGGTTCGGTCATATATCTACGTTAATTTTAACTCCAATAAAAAAAAATTGACCTCATACATAGAGAAAAGGGTTGCTTTATCATTTCATAAGAAAAAAAATTATAGTAAATATATTAATTCAGGAAAACTTGGCTTATTAGGCAAATCGGGCCTTGAATAGTAGGCTGAGAAGTGAGTTCTGGCTACTAGGTACGACATATATATATATATATATATATATATATATATATATATATATATGTATATATATATATATATATATATATATATGTCGTACCTAGTAGCCAGAACGCACCTCTCAGCCTACTATGCAAGGCCCGATTTGCCTAATAAGCCAAGTTTTCTTGAATTAATTGTTTTTCGACAACCTAACCTACCTAACCTAACCTAACCTAACATTTTCGGCTACCTAACCCAACCTAACCTATAAAGATAGGTTAGGTTAGGTTAGGTAGGGTCGGTTTGGTTCGGTCATATATCTGCGTTAATTTTAACTCCAATAAAAAAAATTGACCTCATACATAATGAAATGGGTAGCTTCATCATTTCATAAGAAAAAAATTAGAGTAAATATATTAATTCAGGAAAGCTTGGCTTATTAGGCAAATCGGGCCTTGCATAGTAGGCTGAGAAGTGCGTTCTGGCTACTACGTACGACATATATATATATATATATATATATATATATATATATATATATATATATATATATATATATATATATATATATATATATATATATATATGTCGTACCTAGTAGCCAGAACGCACTTGTCAGCCTACTATGCACGGCCCGATTTGCCTAATAAGCCAAGTTTTCATGAATTAATTGTTTTTCGACTACCTAACCTACCTAACCTAACCTAACCTAACTTTTTCGGCTACCTAACCTAACCTAACCTATAAAGATAGGTTAGGTTAGGTTGGGTAGGGTTGGTTAGGTTCGGTCATATATCTACGTTAATTTTAACTCCAATAAAAAAAAATTGACCTCATACATAATGAAATGGGTAGCTTTATCATTTAATGAGAAAAAAATTAGAGAAAATATATTAATTCAGGAAAACTTGGCTTATTAGGCAAATCGGGCCTTGCATAGTAGGCCGAAAAGTGCGTTCTGGCTACTAGGTACGACATATATATATATATATATATATATATATATATATATATATATATATATAACCATATATGATATGTAACCATATATATATATATATATATATATATATATATATATATATATATATATATATATATATATATATATATATATATATATATATATATATATATATATATGTCGTACCTAGTAGCCAGAACGCACTTCTCAGCCTACTATGCAAGGTCCAATTTGCCTAGTAAGCCAAGTTTTCATGAAATAATTGTTTTTCGACTACCTAACCTACCTAACCTAACCTAACCTAACTTTTTCGGCTACCTAACCTAACCTAACCTATAAAGATAGGTTAGGTTAGGTTAGGTAGGGTTGGTTAGGTTCGGTCATATATCTACGTTAATTTTAACTCCAATAAAAAAAATTGACCTCATACATAATGAAATGGGTAGCTTTATCATTTCATATGGAAAAAATGAGAGAATATATATTAATTCCGGAAAACTTGGCTTATTAGGCAAATTGGGCCTTGCATAGTAGGCT